GTCTCAGTCAGTGGAGCCTGAAATTCTTGATCTCAGGGTCATGAGTTCAAGCCCAATGTTGGGCATGGAGCCTATTTAAAAAAAAAAAAATGATAGACTGGGGTTCACACTAACTAGACTACTGAAACTGAACTAAATAACAATCACTATTCTTAGAGCAACTATTCTGCCACCAGTTTTCATCCTCATTTGGAGAAAATTAGTGGGCAAAAGTTAGAATCCTAGACAGAACTGTCCATGTCCTCTGACAGCAACAAAATAGAATCACAGTAGATAGAAGACCATCTTAAGATCCCACTAACAGAAGGTGGGGGGAAGACCCCCATCAAAAGGGTAAGTGTCAGTAACCTAGAGCAGGGATAGCTAGCAATACTTACCCTCCTTCCAGAGAAAAGGCAGCATGGTATAAATGAGGAATCAGAATACTTGGGTTCTAGTTTCAAGTCTGCCACTAATCAGCAATGTGTTGACTTCCCCTCTCTGAGCCTAGGTTTCTCTTTCAGTTAAATGGGAGGGCTGGGCTGAATGATCTCTGATCCTTTCCTAAAAATGTCACCATTCTATCCATCCTTTCAAGGCCTCAAAAATATTTTGGTTGCCACTAAAAAAATAAAGAATGCTCAAAATGTCACATTTATTTTTATAACATGTTCTCACTGCCAGCGTTTAGTATGTGTATGTAAAATCCACACAAACTAGCAAGAGCATTCATCTCATATATAATTTACCCAGTAAACATTTTTTAAAATCTATGGGTCTAGGGGTACCTGGGTGGTTAAGCATCTGACTCTGGCTCAGGTCTCTATCTCAGGGTCCTGGGATTGGGTCCCTGCATCGAAATCCCTGCTCAGCGGGTAGTCTGCTTCTCTCTCTCCCCCTCCCCACTCTTGTGCATGCATGCACGTGCTCACTCTCTCAAATAAAATCTTTAAAAAATTTTTAAAAATAAAATAAAATCTATGGACCTTAAAAAAAAAACATAAAATAAAATCTATGGGTCCTGAATCATGTACCAAATACCATCATTTGTTAAACTAAAAACTAAAAAAAAGGGCGCCTGGGTGGCTCAGTTGGTTAAGTGTCTGCCTTCAGCCGAGGTCATGATCCCATGGGTCTCCTTGCGCAGCGGGAAGCCTGCTTCTCTCTCTCTCTCCTTCTGCCACTCCCCCTGATTGTGCGAGTGCTCTCTCTCTCTCTCAAATAAATATTAAAAAATCTTTTTAAAACTAAAAACTAAAAAAAAAATCATGGCAAGATTTCCCAATAAAAACTTACCAATAAAAGCACTACTAAAGCTCAACACGATGAGAGACTTTTAGAGTTGGAAGAGTTCTCAGAGTGTAATCTCAATTTAAAGATGAGGAAATGAAATGACTCAGAGTCCAGGGCTTTTTTCTACTATACCACACTTCCTCCTCCCTTTCCTGCTTTATCAAAAGACAGCATAGTAGCAAAAAGAACACTAGACTGTGAAACTGACCTGGATTCTAGTCCTAATTGCCATTAATTGGCTGTGGCACCTTGGACAAGTCGCTTTCCCTCCTTAGGCTTTGGTTTTCACAATAATTTATATGCAGAAATTTAACTAGATGCCCCTTCTAGCTGTAACATTTTTTTTTAAAGATTTTATTTATTTATTTGAGAGAGAGAGAATGAGAGATAGAGAGCACGAGAGGGAAGAGAGTCAGAGGGAGAAGCGGACACCCCACCGAGCAAGGAGCCTGATGTGGGACTCGATCCCGGGACTCCAGGATCATGACCTGGATCTTATTAAATTCCTATCTGTCAGGGCAACCCTCTTGGGTCCCCTCCCTCTTTGGGAGCTTTGTACTCTCACTCAATATCGCTCCATAAACTTTGCTTTGCTGCCCACCAAAAAAAAAAAAAAAAAAAAATTCCTATCTGACAAAACAAAATGAACATTCCTGAAAGAGAAAAATGGGAATTTCTAGCCAAGAGAACTGAACAGTGGGCTGCTAGTTTTAAATAGATGCATCAGTTCAATTCAGCAAGCTGGTCCTAAAGCATTTTACTCCAGAATCTCTACACACAAATGCATACACACAGTGTGGGACAGCTATGATGTACTGGAAAAAAAATACTAGACTTGGAGTCTGAAGAACTGGCTTCAAATCCCAGTTCTGTCACAAGCTGTGTCTCATAGGCCAATTCATTAACCTCTCTGAGCCAAAGGTTCCTCATATGTTAAAATGGAGAAAACAAGGAAATCTGACCTAATACATCAATCAAAAGAAAGCATTATAAATGTGGTATAAGGGACACCTGGGTGCCTCAGTCGGTGAAGCATCTGCCTTCAAGCTCAGGTCATGATCGCAGGGTCCTAGGATCGAGTCCCGCATTTGCTCCCTGCTCTGCAGGAAGCCTGCTTCTCCCTCTCCCTCTGCTTGTGCTCTCTTGCTCTCTCTCTCTCAAATAAATAATAAAAAATCTTAAAAAAAAATAAACGTGCTAATATTGCAAAGCTGGGCGATTGGAGAAGACCGGCCACTGTGGAAAAGGAGGCTGTACTGGAATCAAGTCCTTCTATTTAAAAACTGGGCTGAGTTTGAACTTTCAAAGAGCAGAACAACAAAGCTGAAGACACCACTGGAGGGGAACAAGAAATAAATCAATTTTAGGAAACAGATTGTGTACTTGGATTCTGATTAACAAAACATATGAGATAACTCTCACTTGCCTATCAGTTTACTACAATTTGATGAAGATGGTCTGTGTACTGTGGCACACCCAACAGCAAGGAACATTTCTTAAAGTTTGCAAACTCAGTCTGTTAACCTCTTAAGAGTTTGTATGGTGTGCCACTCCAATTCATATCAAGGGACAGAAGATATTTCTGATGACCAGATATCTAGTGATAGCATGTGTTTCCACAAATCAAAAGATTTCTCACTGCATTTCTCTTCACGGTACCTTATGCAAGAGACAAAACCAGTCACAAAGAACAGAGGAAATGTTAACGATGCCAACCTTTATCAGTCCTCCCAGTACTGCTAGTTCTTTTCAGATGCAATTCTCCAGATGAATCCAAATCTGCTCCCCGCCCCCCCCACTAATACAGAATGGAGCCATGAAATTCACATACTGACACTATAGCTTTACCCACAGAGTTCAACAGGATTAGTATTTGGAGAGGTTGGAGAGTTCACAGTTAAAATTAGAAGGCAGGGTCCCAAGAGACGTTTTTACTTTTCACCTACTATCAGAGGATCAAAGTGCTTGAGAAGCTCTATTATTCCATGAGCCAAGAAGTCATTCTATCAATTCTATCAAAATGACTCATTGGGTTTAAATAAGTTAAATAGCTCCAAGTTCTGCATACTTCCTCCCAAAGTAACCACCGTGTGAAGTTAAATTTGTTAATTCCAAGAAAGGAAGAAGGGAATAGACATTTGGGTTCTTTCTCTGTGCCAGGTACTAGGCTGGCTAGACAATAGACACTCCTGATATAACTGTCCTTCAAAATTAAATGTTTCATTCATTGAAAGAAACAATATTCACGTATTTCTAAACTGATTACGATCATATACATAGATTATTTCCTTCCCCCACTCCACATACACACACTCAAAAGCACTAAAAGATTAGGTCTGTCATTTAATCTAAATCAACAGTTCACTACTTTGAGGGGAAAACCACAAAAACAAAATTTAATTTCAAAGGAATCCAATCTATTTGGAAATCCAAAAGTATTTTCAATCCTCTAACATCTAGCTATTAACTTGCTGAACTTGAAGGAGACTCAATGCCACCTCAAGATTGGCCACTGCCACCCAAAAATCTCATAATAGTGATAGGAAGGTTGGTGGAAACACATCTGTGATCTACCAACGTACATTTCTTTCTGATTTTGCTGCTATAACTTTTTTGGTATATGTTATATATAAAATATATTAGGCTTTAGAATGACTTCTAGAAAGTACAGATAATTTTATTTGCATCAAACACGGTCTTTCTTCCAGGGGGTAAGTTTGGGAATTGTAGGCAGTTGAACTCCTGTAACCGTATTAGTGTCTACTTCCATTAACATACAAATTTTACCAACTCTCAAGTTCTTACAGCATGAAAATATATTTCACTGCCTCTACTTCCACACAAGTCCGTAGAAGAGTTCGGCAAAATAGCTTCAAACCCTGTTTCAACTTTGAAAAGTGGAAGAGTGGGTAAGCAGAAGTCTCAGTCAAGCGAAGCATTCCAACTACTGCACTTCCTTACACAGAATCTCTCATACTAATCATCACTAAAACGTCTTGCAGAATTAGATAAATAAAACAAAGCTGTGGCTCTCCTTCCAACCACCAGATTACTCAGCACTTGTTTGTATCCCTGTAGTTGGTTATGTACAACTGAGTCCGGCTACCCTTTTAGGATGGCATTCTCCCTAATGGTAAGGACCTTGTCTCCGATTTCCTTTGCCTCACCGTTAAGGTGCTATTTTAATAAAACACTGTTGATCTAGAGAACATCAGCTAGAGCACTTTCCTAAGTAAAATACCCAACCATTCCCCCGCTCCTTTTCCTTCTGTGCAACGAAGAGGACGGCACAGAGTTACAGCTACCTCTGAAACGAACAGGTAAGTTAGCGGCAAAGAAAAAAACCAACGGGAAACGCAATTTCTTCTGTTACTGCTCCTTTAATCTGTGGTCCCCAGGGCCAAAACGGATGTTTCGAAGGTAAAGCGCTGAACCCCACAAATACAAATCGCCGGCTCTCGGGCACGTAAGCTGTCCCACCTCGAAGAAGCCTGGACAGGACGAGAGAGGGGCTCCTTAGCCCCAGGGGCCGCTCACCAAGAAAAGGAGGGGGTTTGGCCCAGGTGGGCGATTCCCCCTCCCCCGACTCCCTCTGAAGTGCCCGAGTGAGACACAGAGGAGCAGCGGTGGCGGACACAGAGGGACCTGGGAGGGGTGCCGGGGGAAGGCACAGGGGAAGCCGGGGGACTGGAGCGCCCGGCTTCTGGGCCAGAGCTCCAGTTACTTACCCTACAGGGTAGCCGCCCCCTAGGTGCACATCTTCAGGGGCATCAAAGAATTCCTCGGTGTCGCTTTCCGACGCCATTTATAGGACACACCCGCGGGTGAGGGGGCCGGCGCCGCCTGGAGAGAGGGTGACTTTCGTCTCCTCCTCGTCGTCTTCCACCCCGGCGAGACCGTGGGGAGGTGGGTCCCAGGCGAGGAGAGGGACGGGGGAGACGATCTAGAGTGAGGAGCCGGTGAGGGGCAGGGGGGCCGCCGTCAGCTGCCGGGCTGTGGGAATGACCGGCCGAGCGGCAGCCTGAGGAGGCGGCGGTGGGTCCAGGAACTGTTGCAGCCGCCGCTCCGGGCGATAGGTGTACAAGGAGAGCGAGAGAAGAGGCGGTGGCTCTCTGTGGGGGAGGGCGGGCGCGCCGACAACAGCAGCTCCAATTTCTCCCGCAGCAGCAGTTACAGCAGCTGGGAGAGTCAGTTGCCCGCAAAATACCGACGCGCACCTAACCTCGCGAGATTTCGGGAGGGGCCGGTTAAAGCGTGGGCGGGGCGACGAGGAGGCGGGGGCGGTTCCAGAGCGGCAGCGCTCAGATTTCTTCTACCCGAGAGGCCTATCAAAACGGCGCAAGCGCGTTGAGGGCGTTCGGTGACGGCCGGAAGTAGCCGAGGAGGGTGGAGCCTACAACCTGCGCAGGAGCGGCGTGGTGCCTTAGATCTGAGCGAGCGAGCCCGACGTAGGTGGGGTCCGGCTGATCGTCTTACCTCTAGTTCTGCTGTTCCAAAGAGAGGCATCTTCGGAGGGGTGGTTTTGAGTCTGCTTTTTTCCCTTGAGAGGAAATGCTGTCGGGAAGCATTGGCACTGTAGTTTACATTTATTTACGTCGTCTTAATTTATCCCAGCCCGGAATATCCCACCCTAGGGCGTAGGCAGGTCCACCTCCTCGAGTGTTACGGGAATAACTCGTCCTATTTACTACAGGATCTCTAATTGGGATCCCTAAATACGCTCCTGCCGGCCAGAGGGTGGGGTCCATGAGAGATACGTGGGGAGTGTGCCAGTTCCATGAAGTAATGATGGATTTATTGCCGGAGCGGAGCCAGCATAAGGCCTCCAGTTACTCTTTCTCTACAGTATTTGTTGCTGCCCACACTTAATGTGAGAGAAATTCTTGCAGACTGGCCAAGATGCGGATCAGTCCATGGTAAATATATATTGAACAGATACCGTTGCAAAGCTAAGAGCTAGTAACTTAATTCTGACCCTTGATTGCCCTATGTCCAGTGATGAAAATACAAAAGTACTTTTTTTTTTTTAAATTTTATTTATTTGACAGAGAGAGACACAGCGAGAGAGGGAACACAAGCAGGGGGAGTGGGAGAGGGAGAAGCAGGCTTCCCGCTGAGCAGGGAGCCCGATGTGGGGCTCGATCCCAGGATGCTGGGATCGTGACCTGAGCTGAAGGCAGACGCTCAACGACTGAGCCACTCAGGCGCCCCGCAAAAGTACTTTTTGGAAAGACCAGATGTTCTTTTTTTTCGGATCATTCACCACCAGAGTGATAACATTGACTTTCTATATGATCCCTGAATCACATTTGTTTCCCATTGAAGTCATGACAGGAAGGCTCTCAGAACTGTTTGCTCAGCCTCAACTACTGCTCAAGATGGCAGCAGGAAAGACTGGATTGGGTCTGGACACTTGGCCTCAGAGGCTAAAATGAAATGAAGTTCTAAATTTCTCCTTGTAAAGCAACCAGGAAAAGACCTGGCGTTGTCTGGTCTACTTGAGTAAAACCAAATGCCGTATATTGTAACTTCTGTAACATCTCAGGGAATTCAGGGGAAACACTGCATGTTCAAATATGGTAATATTTTTTTGCAGCAAACCATATAATTATTCATATGGAGTAAATGAATAGCTGTGAATAGCCTCATTCAGTTCAGGTCAGATAGTCCTGCCAAATAAGCTTAGGTTAGGTCAATTTGACTGTCAAGTAAGTTACTAAAAATACAAAACAAAATTTTTAGTTTCCAGAGCCTTTTGGATTTCAAAATTGCAGACAAGTGATTTCTGGGTCCTTGTGTCCTTTTGTCACAATCTAGTAATTATTAGCTTTTATGTGTTTTAACCATGTTAATTTCCCAGGTATAAAACTGTATCTCCACTACTAACTTTTTATTTTTGTTGCTCACTAGAAAAGATATGCTTTTTTTCCTTATGGATTGTGAAAAGATAAAAGTAGACAGACTACCTGAATTTATTCTCTTCCTAGTCATCTAATAGTGAATATATGTTTGCCTTAAAAATTAAGTTTGGTGTTGGGGTGCCTGATTGGTTCACTTGGTAGAGCATGTGGCTCTTGATCTTGAGGTCCTGAGTTTGAGCCCCACGTTGGGCATAGAGATTATTTAAAAAAAAAAAAAAGAAAGATGAATAAGATAATTTAGTTCCTGTCTTCCAGGAGCTCACAATGTAGGAACAGATCCAAATATGGATTCCTAATTTGGTGCCTTTTTTTCACTATACCATATCACCTTTCTTGGATCTTCTTTTTTCTCTCTTGGACCTTTTAAGGTACCTTAAACATTATGCTTAGAAAAAAATCAAAGTGGAGAAATGATAAGCAGAAAACATTTTAGAGCTATTAAAGTTGTCTGTTTAAATGCTTTTATCAGTTATGTGAGGAAGTGAGTTTCTGGTAACATCAAAACACGTGTGTACTGAGTGTCATAATTTTTTTTTAAGATTTTATTTATTTATTTGCCAGAGAGAGAGCATGGGAGAGAGAGTGAGAGTACAAGCAGGGGGAGTGGCAGGCAGAGGGAGAAGCAGGCTCCCCGCTGAGCAAGGAGCCCTATATGGGACTCCATCTCAGGACCGTGGGATCATAACCTGAGTCCAAGGCAGATGCTTAACCGACTGAACCACCCAGGCGTCCCAACATGTCATAATATTTTTTAAAAAGATTTATTTATTTAGAGAGTGAAAGAGAGCATGAGTTGGGGGAGGGGCAGGGGCTTGATATGTGACTTGATCCCATAAGCCTGAGATCATGACCTGAGCCCAAACCAAGAGTTGGATGCTCAACCCACTGAGCTACCCAGGCACCCCTCATAATTTTTTTAAGGTTTTCTTTTTAAGTAATCTCTACACCCAATGTGGGTCTTGAACTCACAACCCTGAGATCAAGAGTCACACACTCCACTAAGTAAGCCAGCCAGCCACCTCTCCCCACCCCGTGTCATCATTTTAAAAGATGCTTTGCCCAGGGCACCTGGGTGGCTCAGTTGGTTAAGCAACTGCCTTTGGCTCAGGTCATGATCCTGGAGTCCTGGGATCGAGTCCCGTATCGGGCTCCGTGCTCAGCAGGGAGCCTTCTTCTCCCTCTGACCCTCCACCCTCTCATGCTCTCTCTCAATAAATAAAAATTTAAAAAAAGAATCTTTTAAAATAAAAAAATAAAATAAAAGATGCTTTGCCTGAATCATCTAAATTTTTAAAGCAGCAGGTTTTAGGTTTAGTCCAAGGGAGTAGTTTTAAAGCTTTTCTCCTTATTAGAAATGAAACTTTTTAATCAAACCTAATTTCAGGCAAAAGTCTACTTATCATAAAAAGAATAACTGCTCCAGCTGAAGCAGGAATAGTTCAGGTCCCTGAGGGTCCAGAGACTGCCCCAAGGTACCGTTAAAAAAACTGGAGGCTACTGGTCCAAAGCTGGGGTAGGCAAATTATGGTTCACTGGACAAATCTCTCCCACTGTCTGTTTTTGTAAATATAGCAATTCCCCCTTATCTATGGTTTTGCTTTCTGCAGTTTCAGTTGCCCAAGATCAACTGTGGTTCAGAAGCAGATGCTCCTCCTTCTGACGTGTCATCTAACAGTACATCAGAACACCTACATCATTTACCTCCCTTTATCTCCTCACATAGGCATTTTATCATTTCATATCACCACAAGAAGAAGGGTGAGTACAGTGCAATAAGATATTTTGAGATAGACCACATTCACATAACTTTTATTACTAGTATGTTGTTATAATTATTCTACTGTATTATTAGTGTTGTTAATCTTCTACTGAGCCTGATTTATAAATTAAACTTTATCATAGGTATGTGTGTATAGGAAAAAACATAGTATATATAGGGTTTGGTACTCTCTGTAGTTTCAGGCACTGCGGGGTTCAGTTTCAGTGGGGGTCCTGGGACATATTCCCCATGGATAAAGGAGGAGTACTGTAAAGTTTTATTGGAATACAGCCAGGCCTAGTTGTCTATGTATTGTATGTCTGCTTTTAGGGCAGAGTTGAGTAATTAGGACAGAGACTGTATGGCCCACAAAGCCTAAAATATTTACTACCAGGCTCTTTACAGAAAATTTTGCCAACGTTTGGTCCATAGGATACTACTTTCTAGGGTACCCCAGAACTGAAAGTACATGCATATTAAATGGTTATTTGAATTAGTTTCACAAGAGAATTGTATAATGCCACAAAATCATACATATAGATAAGAATGAGGATAAAACTGTTTCCCACCCGGCTCATTCCTAGTGGCTTTAAAAACTACCCAGGTCTAAGGCTAAAGTGGGTTTCAGGAACTTTTTCTGTCTCCTTATCTGCACAGCATAAACTCTACTTAGGAGTTACAAAGGCGACAAGTCACAGTCAGTGTATGGAACAATTTGTCTGTGGGATGATTGCTCTCTTCACTTGGCAAGAATAATACAAACTGGCAGTATACTTGGAGCCAATTTTCCTCCAACCACAAGGGTAATCACTGGGAACATCAGTGACAAGACTGTCACGGGTGTAGGCTTTTGTTACAAACAAGAGCTGAAGTGATAACTCAGGGAAAAACTTTTTATATACGAAGTTAGAGGATTTGAGATACAATATTGACATGAACTGATTTAATATTGCAATCTCTGGGAGAGTTTTTATAGATTTTGAAGTATCAGAATCCATAAAAGAAAATCATTCTGAAACTGGCCAAAATTTCTCAGGACCAAGCTAAAATTCTGTAATCATCAACCTTCAATTATGTTTGAAAGGTCAGCTGTGTTCCAGATTATGATGGTAAATATTTAAAAAATCATTTCTATTTGGCTTTGGAATCTTTATATCTTTTTTAGGTCCATCCATACCACTTTCTTAATGATGTTTTCTCGATATTAATATTAAAATGAATTTTCAATCTCTGAGCACAAGAACTGAAAGTAGGGAAAGAGAGTCTAGAAATTTGTTAAGAGATGCAGAAAAAAAAAAAAGATGCAGAAAAGCCAGCTTGGGATTTAAATTGTCTTACTATTATGTAGTGGAATACTAAGTAGCCATGTATGACTGTTCAGGACTCTGGAATAAAGCTAACTGGGATTATCTTAAACAAAACAAAACAAAACAAAACAAACGAATTTATTCATTTGCATAATCAAATATAGACTGCTATAACGCTTGTCTGTTCATTTGTGATAAATGTATT